CTTGGGGTGTATTAGAAGGGGCGTGGCTGCTAGGTTGAGAGAGGTCCTCCTGCCCCTCTACTCTGCCACATCTGGAATATTGTGTCCAATTCTAGGCCCCTTGGTTCAATAAGAACAGGAACTGCATGAAAGAGTCCAGCGCAGAGCTACAAAGATGCTGAAGGGAGTGGAACATCTCCCTTCTGAGGACAGGCTGAAGGAGCTGGGTCTCTTTAGCTTGGAGAAGAGGAGGCTGAGGGGTGACCTCATTCATGTTTATAAAAATGTGAAGGATGAGTGTCAGTAGGATGGAGCCAGGCTCTTCTCAGGGATGTGTACTGACAGGACAAGGGGCACTGAGTGCAAACTGGAGCATAGGCGGTTCCACAAAAACATTAGGAAAAGCTTTTTCCCTGTCAGGGGGACGGAGCCCTGGCACAGGCTGCCCAGGGAGGTTGTGGAGTCTCCTTCTCTGGAGACATTCAAAACCCACCTGGACGTGTTCCTGTGTGACCTACTGTAGGTGATCCTGCTCTGGCAAGGGATTGGACTAGGTGATCTTTCGAGGTCCCTTCCAGCGCCAACATTCTGTGATTCTATGACTCTGGGTTTTTCTGTGGTGTGAACATAGGTTATGTTACTGCCATGAACAAGTCCTTCAGAGACTAACGGGCAAATTGACAGATGGTCTGCTAATTCTGGTTGGAAGTATGGAAATACATTTCTTATTTAGTAAATTCATTGTGTTTAATTGGTATATAACGTGCATATCATGAAGAGTGTCTTAGTGAGATTCTAGTTTATTTTTTATGGGCTGACTTTTTACTTCCTAGTCTGTAGACAGAAATTTTGGATCTGTTTACCCTCCCAGATGTTTGAATGATAAGCTGCACCATTAAAACAGAAAGAGTAGAGCACTTGGAAGGTGGATGGATGTTAGTAAGCTTGCTCAAAACTCTGTGGTTTTGTGTTGGTATCTGTCACTTAAGCGATGGTGTAACAGCGTGAGAAGCAGACACCCTCTCCAGGAGCCCTGAGTACTGCTGCAGCCAGCACAGAGGAGGGTGTTGTTTCTGCTGCTAAGTGAAGAAAAGGAGGGCTCTTTCTTACTGTGGGTGTGGTTTATATTTTCTTCCACTCAAGGCCTGTTTTGTAAACAAACAAAGCAACTTGATATTTTACACATAAGAAAACTGATGGTTTATTTTTATTGGGTAGCAGTGAAGAGGAGGAAGAGGGGAAAAAAGAAAGTTCCTCCCTGCAAGAAGCAGTGAGTTAGATAGCCCTGTGCTCAAAATGAGCAAAAAAGATCCTGCTAAGTTAAAATAACTCAGTGCTGAAACTCTGAACATCATCTGCTTTTTTCTTTTGACAGGCTTTGCCTGCAAAGTGCTTTCACAGTATATGCCATCTTGTTGGTACCTGCTTGAACCTCAGGACCTGTTCATTGTGACTCTGTGACTACACTGTGTCTGACTGTCTCTCACAACTGCTGGCTCGTATTTTTACAGGCTCGTATTTTATATTTCAGTCCAGGTACCTCACTGAAGAACAGCAGAGGATTTTCACTGAAGATACTGACTCTGAAATGGAGGTGTTTGAAGGCTTCTCTTCAAGCGAGGTGGATGTGAACAAGAAAGGAGTTCCGGTAAAGGCAGTCACCTACACGTGAATGTATAGGTTGTCTCTTCTGTGTAAACCTCATGTTCTCATAGGAGTATTTCTGATACACCATGATGTTCTTTCTTCATGAAAGAAAAAATAAAAGAAAGAAGAAAAATACATGTTATCTTCAAAGAGAAAAAAACGCTTTATTTAATGTAACATCACATAGCAGAAATGCGAGCTTCTTCCCTGACTGTAGACTGACTGTGCTGGGCAAGATTGTTCCTCCGAAGACAGCCATGTCTGTATCCCAGACAGCGTGAGTCTGTAGATTTTGTGTTGGTCTCTGCATAGAGAGAAGTCTTGTACTCTGAACTTTTAAAATTTAAATTTGTTGATTTAAGTGATCTTATAATAAATAGTGCCTTCAGGGGTGACACTGCTGCCTAGAAGTAGTGATTTAAAAATGACCTTTCCTGTGTCAGAGCTAGTAAACATGGGATTCTTCCTGCTTCTAGGTGGTGGAGTTGGACTTGAGTGATGAGGAACGTGATAATTTACTGGGTAGTGAGGAAGAAGAGGAGGAAGAGGCGAAGAAGAAAGTTTCCCCGAAGAGAAGAAGCTTTGGCCTTCGTGTTGCCTTGCAGTTTCCCAGCAGAAAGTCATCTGAGAAAAAAGAGCCGGAACAGGGATTTTCTAACTTACCTCTAAAGGACAGTGAATCCCTCACACCTCTTTCAGAAGAAATAAGTTGCAAGCAGTGGGACAAACTAGAGGGCTCTGCTTCAGAATCTGAAGAAGACATTAAAGACACACAGGAGGAAAGTTCCAGTGCGTTGCTTAAGAGAGCCATGAATATTAAAGAAAATAAAGCTATGGTAAGACTAACGAGCAGTACTTTGTTCACTGACATTTACATCTGAGTACTTAGCTTCAGCACACTTGAACTTTGGGGTCCCTGCTGGTGCTGTGCTGGGACTTTGGGAAAATCTGGCTGTGGTCTGTATTTGAATTTTTCTACCTGGGAAAACCCTAGAGGACCATCAACAATCAGACATTTACCCCTAAAATAGCCTCAAGTAGGACAGGTCTGCTCAAGTTCAAAATGAGAGTCGAACCAAATGTTCTGTGTGTGGATGTGAACAAAGCTACAGATGCCCAAGTTGCAGTCTCATATTCAAAACATGTCAGAAGACTGGATGGTCCCTTCAGGTCGTTCGTGGTGTCATTTGCACAGCAGAGTTTCTAATTTTCATTTGTGCCTCACAGATCTTCTGCAGTTACTGATTCGAAAGCCAGATAAAAACTGCAAAGGATGATAAATGTAATTTTTCAGTTGTGTGGGATGTGATGTTTACAAACTGCTGAAAGTGTGTGTGTGTGTAGGTGCAGAAAAGAGAGATACTGATTGTTTCTTTTCACCTCTGTTGTCCAAAATGCCAACAGCTCTCTTTAATGATTATGCTGCCATGCGAATCTGAGTTGATGTTGGCTGCGCAGTGGCTCCTTCAGTTTTACTGTATTCCAGGAAAAATTGCAGCTTCCAAGGAGTCTTGGGGTTCAAGTATACCTCTTGGGTGGGTGAACCTGCAGCTCTCATGTGAAAACTTGCTTTAGTTTTATACCTGTGTTTCTAATCTTGTGTCCTCACTGCTGTTGTGTTGGTCTTGATGCTCTTCAGCCCTTTTCGCCTTCCACTCTCTTCCTTCTAGTTCAACTGTTGCAAGCAGCTGGTGTTCCTTTTCTCTCTTTTGTTACATGAACTGTGAATTTCTCATTGTTGATCATAGACATCATAAGCATGTTTTAATGCATTTCTTCAGTGCTGTTTCAATGACATTGGATGTAATTCTAGCTAATTCTAATTCCTAGTAAGAATTAATGGGAGCTGGGAAGTTAGTACTGCCTGCAGAGTTTCACTCATTCAGGGGTAAATGAACCACTTTTATGAGCCCCACTTAAATAAAGCTTCTCCAGAAAGGTTTAACGGACTGAAAGTTCATGTGTTTAAGTAGTAATTTAGAGTGCATGTGAAGAGTGGATGACAGGTGTTGCTTATCTGTAAATTTGCAGTGAGTTTTTAATGAGGCATCACTGTTGATTTCAGCTTTCCCAGCTGTTGGCAGAACTGAATTCCATACCTGACCTGTTCCCAGTGAAAACATCCACCTTGACTCTTTCGGTAAGTCTCTGGTACCAGCTAGAGGTGGCAATTGTTTTTGATAACTAAGGATTAATATATTACCCAATTAAATGCTTTCACCAAGTTTATTCTGGTTTTCTTTGGTTTTTGGTCACTTTATTTGTATAGATTTGCTACTGGTCAGTATTTAAGTACCAGAGATTATGTGAGGAAGTGGAATTTTGTAAGATAATTTATGATGAAATACGGAGACCAGGATGAGATGCTTTTTACAATTTTTGCCCCAGAAGTATTGGTGAGGTGCTAGAAAAATGTCTGTGTATGTGGGAATAAGGAAAAGTAGTTGCTTTCTTTTGGGTTTAGATCCTGTTAATTTCCGTCTTGCAGGCTTTTCTTTTAAAATCCTCACTTCCTAGTAGAGCAGATGAAACCAAACCACTTCAATATGAACCCCAAATGATACTGTAGTTACTTCAACTGGCTTCTCTCTGCTAGAAGCAGAGAACTGTCAACCCCTCTAGGATTTCTATAGGCTAGTATTTTTCCATGTGTATTATAAACTGAAGAGACTTGAGGAAAAATTGAAGGGCCGTAGTTTTGGAAAACCTATGCAGAAATGCTGTTGTGGTCATCAAGTGAAAAGGTGAAGCCAAATTATACGGTGTTTGAAAGGCTGGAACCTTGCTAGTTCTAGTTAAATGCTGTAGAAATGTAAAAATCCTTTGGATGCGTACATAAGCCTGCCACTTTTATTTAGTATCTTTACTTGAGGAAGTGGGAGGGCATCAGGAGTATTCTAGATACCTCATCTGCTTGATTTTTGACTTCCACCCTGTCTCCTTGTAACATACCTTTCAATTCTTTAGAAGGATTTAACTAAAGTGTGTAGTATCAAGCAGACTTCTTTCCTACATCTTGTTTCCACTGTCAGATTTAGTAGCTACCCTTATGGTAGGTGTCCACGCAGGACTTCTGTTGCACGAATTCAGTCACGTCATAATCATGTCAGATGTGACAATATGAAGAGTTATTTTGTGCCTTCTAGTAATTTCCAAGTCTTAGGAGTCTGGAACTAGGAGAAATAGTTTATTAATGCCCTTTCATTTTTAAAAATGAAAAAGAAAATAATCTAGAAATTGGATAATTTGTTGCAAGTGGATTCATATTGTTGGCAAATCTGAGTATTTAGCTACAGAAGAACAGTGAGAGCTAGCTTCTGTCTTAATATGCCATACATAAAATTTTGGTATAGTTCTGTGATGTTAATTGGAATAGAATTTCACTGTGAAGATTTGATGTTTTAAAATGAGCAAAGAGATATCATCCTTAAGAAGAACACTTAAGAACGGTAGAAATTGGTGGGGCTTGCCTTAACAAATAAGGAGTGGGAGAAGAACAGATTAATTCATGATAGTGCAAGTGTGGTACAGACACTTTCAGATAATTTCTGGTGTTTAACACTACAAACGTAACTGAAAAGACAGTTATTGGAATCTTCTCTTTTCAGAAACAGAAGAAAATCCCAAGGAGGACATTTTCTGAAGGCCAGATAACACGTCGCATGAATCCAACCAGAAATGCTCGTCCACCAGAAAAGTTTGCCTTGGAAAAGTTTACTATGGCGACTGTCAAATTTGCAGAACATTTGCATAGTTATAGACAACACAACCTCCTGAAGAAGAGACTCAGCGTGGTATTTGCCAGACTTTGATATCTGCAGTAGTCAGGGATTGGGAACCATTTGAATTGTTGGCCAGTACTTAGAGGAGACATCACATCCTACACAAAGTTACTGAGAACCTTTGGTTAGGATTAGCTGCAGAAGAAGTTATCTTCAGGTCTTCCTGCTTCAACTTTCACCTGTTAGCTGGGCACTATTTCTGACCTGTGTTGTCCAAACATAACAACTTGCAGTCTGTTACTTATTTATTATCTGAAAATAACTAGAACCCACAGTGTAGGAGGCCTTTGAGTGGCAAGTGGGGCTGGTGGAGGTGACAAAGCAGATCTTCAGACTCAGAAAAAATTAGCAAAACCCCTTTTTTGGAAATAGCAGAGGGAAGATAGATATTACACAGCCTCTGCAAATAGCAGAGGGAAGATAGATATTACACAGCTGAACAGAGAATAAATGCTGTTGTACTGGCTATCCATTCAAAAGTTGCAGGTTTATTTTTTACCGTTTTTAAAAAATCTGTTTGTTCCTCCCTTGGCTTATGGTGGTCATTTGTCTTGGTTTTAAGGGAATCTGCACCAACAAAGTGCTGTTGTACTGGCTAGCCATTCAAAAGTTGCAGGTTTATTTTTTACCATTTTTAAAAAATCTGTTTGTTCCTCTCTTGGCTTATGGTGGTCATTTGTCTTGGTTTTATTTACTGTATAACTTTTATGAGGAAGATTCTTCAAGTTTGTGACTGCACAGGCTGGATCTCAGTTCTGTTTATAGGAATGAGTGCTGGGCACAGTTGAAGCATAATAGAGGGAACCTGGCTATTAAAAAATATGGAGTAGCACTGAATAAGAACCTGAGCTGGTAAATTACTATTTTGGAGAGAGCAGAGCTGATTTAGAGTGAAGGACAAATGAGGTGTTAGGAATGGAGTAGCGGGAAGACTAAGGATTCAGATCAGACTTGTCCATGATAATTTGGAAGGAAAAAGAGCACTTAATACAGAGTGGAGCAATCTCTTCCAAATAACAAACAGGGTAATAAGACAAAGCTGGGTATGGCAGGACTAACCTAAAACTTAAAGTTTTTTTGCAGGACACTAGAGGTTGTCATTGGAGAAAGCAGAGTATGCTAGCAGATTGAAGATGGAAAGCATGGCAAGGCAGATGGTCATAGTTCCTTATTTTGAGAGGGAGAAAATGAAGAATTATAGTGGGGGTGTGCAGGGAAAGCAAAAAAAAAAGAGGTAACAGAAAAAAAACATTTTAGGGTTTTGTGGAAATAGAAGTAGTGATGTTTGGAAGGAGGAACATACATAAGCAGAATAAATAATAAGTGGAGTACAGAAAATACTAGGGAGGAAAGGAAGAGAAAGAGACAGTGGTCATTTGGAAAACGATTCCCTGTTCTTCCAGTGGTCCATGAGCCTGTAGTTGTCCCCCTGTAGATTGTACACACGTTATAAATGAATTTGTCACCAAGTGTGGTGACAGAGTCTTCATGACACCAGACAAAAGGTGTTGAGATGAGTTTGTTTAGCAGGGGAATTGTGGAGTGCGCAAAAGGAGGAGATCATCGAAGTATTCGTGTCGCCGTCCAGAGGATATTACTGAGGAGGACTTGGACAACATTGCAATCACCTTTAAAGACAAAATATATGACAAAGTTCTAGTAAGTGACTGCTGTATGCTTTAGTGTGTCTGTGCCTTTGAACTTGAAAGTCTTCTACTAGTTCACTGGTGTTTTCTAAAGGGTATGCCTTCCCGAGGTTCTGGAGAATGTAGCTTGGCATTATTATATTGCACAAGCACAACTTTGAAAGTTTTGCCAGGCTTCTGTGGGCTTGCCTGTGCTGGCTGATAGGCCCCACCAGCATTTTGCTTCCAACAAAAGAAGTGCTTTATTGCCACAGAGCTATTAACTGGAGTTTGCCTTAGCTATGACTCACCACTGATAAAAATTGACATCCTTTTTATCTCTCATTCTCACTTAATACAAATGTTGTGATGGTGGTGGTTGCACTATTCAATAATAATGATCTCTGCTGCTCCTCGTACCCCCTGGAAATGACATTTTTGTATGGGTTAGGTAGTTTCCAAAGCTCTTGGTGGAACTCCTCCTTCCTTTACTTCACTGGATTTGGCTATTATTAATTGATGTAAAGATCTCAATGGTCAACTTACTATATATTTCATGCTTCATTGTATTTGCACAAATGAATCACAAGGTCATTTTCTGCGTAATTCTAGCTTTTTCCTGGACAGAGGAAAGGTTCAGAACTGCTACATGAGGCTCATGTAGTTTGAGACTCCCGAGACAACTAGGCACTGTCTGTAAAATTCCTAGCATCTCTCCAGACAACTGTATGATTTATCGTAGTAACAGAAGTTGTGATTTACCATTCATAACGGAACTTACGGTCCTTACTAAGATTTTTGTTGCTGAATTTGACTTTGGTTTGAAGTTTGTGCTTTGCTATCAGCAGATACATTAGGAAAGTTCAATAATGACTATTTAAGATGTCCTTCATACACACATGTTTCTCATTTCCAACTTTAGGGTAGTACTTGCCACCAGTGTCGGCAAAAGACAATGGATACAAAGACAATCTGTCGCAACCAGGGCTGTGGAGGAGTAAGGGGGCAGTTCTGTGGACCATGCCTTCGAAATCGATATGGGGAAGATGTGAAGTCAGCACTGCTTGATCCAGTAAGTATCATTTCTTGGGCTTGGAAAGAAAGTGTACTGTGTCGGAGTTTTTTTTAGCAAGCTGTGATGAGCATATGCTCATTATAACATGGTTTTCAAAGCTTTTTGCCATGAGCAGATCTGTAGTGCTATTAGAGCCGACACTGATCTTGTTGGAACTCAGTTGGAAAGTGCGGGATCTGAGTTACAATCCACTCACTTTCATGCTTTGAAGCTCCACTTGCTTATTGGATAGTGGAGGGAAAGCATGAGAGCTTTTAAGGAATCTGTTCACTTTCAGAAAAATGCCAAAACGTATCCTTTTTCTAATGCGCTCAGTAACATGGCACCCAAAGCAGGTTCCTTGTTTTAGATTCAGATTTTTAAATATGAGGAAAAAGGAGAAGAACGCCTTTTCTCTGTTGTCCCCCAAGGAACTGAGCAAGGAGAGAGCACAGGCTGCTGCCAGAGGACAAGGCACATGGGAACACAAATACCGCTTAGCAGAGTACCTCTCTCTGTGTGCTCAGCTTGTTCTGGGACCTTCTCTCCCCAGCTCTGCCTTAAAGATGAGCTTCTGGGCTGCTCTGAAGGACAGTGGACAACTAATACTCCTGTTCTGGCCCAGTGGGCAGTGGCTGCTATACTGTAGTGCTGGCTGTTAGCACCTGCATCTCTGTGTTTAGTTGCTGAGCTTAACTTCATGCCGGGTAATTCAGTCCCAGGAATCTTGCTGTACCAGCAGGCAGAGCCAAAGAAACTTCTCACAGTAGGTACTCATCTGTGTCTAGGGAGTTCACTCCAATCAGCCTAGCATAGGAGTGAGTTGTCATTAGACAGTCCAGATGCCTCGAGTCTATTTAAAAATTTAATACAGAGCGTGTCAGAGAACCTGAATCTTCAGAGTTTAGAAATATTCAGGCAAACAATCATTTATTTAATCCTGCAGAATTTGGAACGTGTTAACGAGGCTGGCTGACTGACACAGCCTCTTAAAATCTTGCCCTGAACAATCACACAGTAGGGAAACTGTACTCGTGTCTGTCAGAGTGACAGGAAGGTGAATGTAACCTTACTCATGGCTTGCTTTTGTCCCCCACCCTCCTCGTTCACCCCTTTGCAGGCCTGGGTCTGTCCTCCTTGTCGCGGGGTGTGCAACTGCAGCTACTGCCGCCGGCGGGACGGGCGCTGTGCCACGGGCATGCTCATCCACTTGGCCAAGTTCTACGGCCATGACAACGTCAAGGAGTACCTGGAAAGGTGAGAGCTGTGCCCTGTGGTCATTCCTTTTTCAGCTGTTCTAGGCTTTTAAATAATACTTGACTTCTGTTGCTTGGGGCAGGTCCTGGACCTGTACAGAAGGTCTATGCAAAAGAGGTCTCTCGGATTTCAGATTTTTTCTAGGCTGAAATCGGCTGCCTTAAGGGGAATCATATTGTTTGTGTAAACAACTCATTTGGTTGCCTATTTTGAAATCTGTATTGACTGCCTGAAGCATATAGAAGTGCTGTTTTGGAAGTTGCCATCTTCAGCAATGGAAATTGTCTTTTTAAGGGTAACCTGAGTTTCCTAAAAAGCACTAACACTGTTTTCTCACATGTCTTCTAGTTTACAAAAACAACTGACGGATGACAATTGAGAACACTGAACTCAAGCTGTGCCTGCAACTGGTTAATATGTTGACAAAATTTGACTTTAAAAGGTTATTACTATGTTTTATATAAGATAGAAGTGTAGAGTATAGTATATGCATTTTTGTGTTGCAGTTTTTGATTCATGCGGTCTTATGCAAAGATCTCTCAGGAAAATTTTTTGGTAGAGAAATCTACATGCACGGACCTTTATGTTAAGTGAAATGGCATTCTTAAACCTTGAGTTGTTAATTTTTAATAGAGCTGCACAACCACACAAGGGAGAACTTGGTCAATTTGAGCAATACTTTTATTTATATAATTGTGCAAGTTTGCAGAAAGGGTGTTTTAACAACTACCTGTAAAGCATACCCTGTCTTTAAAGAAATAAACAAAAAAACTCCTTTGTGTTCCAACTTGACCATAAAGATTCAGTTTTCCAACCCCTGCTTTCTGAACCTATTCGTCTACCTGCAATTTATGGAACTTGTCTCTGTAAAGAAGGAAAGTGTACTTTCATCTGGATGCCATTATATTCCAGCCAAAGTTGATGCAACCTACCAGTGGGAGGATGATTTTTTTTATTCCAAAGTGCAATTATTACTGAAACATGAAAGTGGGAAAATGTTTTGTAAAAAAAAAAAATAAAAAAATAATAAAAAAATAATTTTAGACATCATCCCAATAAAGAAGGATAATTGCTCACCAGCAGGTTTTTTTGTGATGCACCTGCTGCGTGAACCAACTACCTTACAGCAATCATAACTGGTTAACTGGTTTAAATCACAAAGTTCGGGTTTATTTTTTTTACATATAGTTCATACCTAGATGTTTTTTCATATGTAAAACCAAGCTTTCAAACAACTTTGTTTAAATGCAACATGTTTGTATTGCAGTATGTTAAAATTTTTGTAAGATAAACATTTCATTTTATGTAGAGAGAATAAAAAATAATCAAGAGGAGTATTTTGTGAGTCAAACTACACTCAGATGCTGACGTTTCCCATTTGCTTTCCCATAGCTGGTGTAATGAAGGAATGATTGCAGATCAATATCGTTATGTGGAGAAACAAACACACGAACACAACACTGTCAGATGAGGAAATAACAAGATGGAGCACATAAGTGTTACACTAAGGATTGTGGTTTTGTGAGGCAAATCTCCTGCTCCAGCTGACTGTGAAAAATATTTATCTCCTTTTGCTTTAACTACAAGACAGACTGAGAAAGCAGCACGTACTCTTGAAAGCTTAGTACTAAACTGCCAAGAGTTAAGCTACTCCTGGCGGAACCCATGTAGCTGTCTCTTTGCTTTTCACACTGAAAGTCCAGCTGTAAGCTTGCTCTCTGCTTTTGGTTCTATGAACTGGCTGTTCCTAAAAATTCTTAATGTCTCTTTGATCCACTGGAATAGCCCTTACAAAAAACATCTGGCGTTGCTGGAGCCAGTTCATTGAGCCAGGCTTCAGCTAAGGTCCCCAGCTGTATGTCCCACCTGGCACCTGCAATAAAGGTAGGCACGTGGTTTACGTGGTGTTCTGTAGTACAAGACCAGACTAATTTGGGTTTAAGCAGCTGCTTATTGCCAAATACTTAAAGCTACGTTTGGACATACAGATTTAGTGCTGTATACTGGTGTTGGCCTGTTGTGCATTCTCTCACTGTATGAATGTGGAGATGAGTACATAGCATCTGCCTGAGCTTGATTTCTGGTGTCATCAGCACTCCTTTTATTGAAAGCAGGGACTAGAAACTACTTAAAGTTGGGACTTGGAGCATGCCTGTGACGGAACACACTTGTTGAAGTTAAGTGCTCAAATTTTCTCCTAATTCTTCACCAGTGTATGATCGAGTATTCCAAAAAGGGGAGTATTTAACATATGTTTGTATAGGTATCAAACAGATACTTCAGTCAGTTAAGACAGGTGAGTTCTGCGCTGCTGGAGGGCCATGGACTTTCTGAAAGCTGCTGGATTTGTTGTGTGTTCTTCTGACATAAATCAGCGTATAAAATGTTGCAGATGCTTGTGGATTTGGAGAGTGTTTATGTAGCAACAAGAAAGTTTATATTTTCAAATACCAACACAGACACAAAAACCACAGCTCACAAGGTTGATAACCTACCTCATATCCAGAGGAGGAATGAACAGTATTGTCCTTCAGGCAATAAAAAGGTCCTCTGAAAAATTCAGGCTACCTTTTCAAAAAGCAACAGTCAAATGACGTGCTTGTCATTGCTCAAGTCCCTGGCTTTCTCCTTGGGGCTCGCCTGCTAGAGTAGCAACTCCCTTCCAAAAGTGTTGCTTTCCTTTTATTATTTTTGAGTCTGGTGAAGAGTAGGAGTAATGATGACATTTTTCTAAGTGCCTGTTGGAGTCATTCACCTTTCATCTAATTAGCTGTAACGTTGTTGACAGCCTAATTTAAAACTAAAATCTTATTTTGACTGTGGGCCTTAGTTGTCATTCCTAAACTAGCTGTTTCAGGAAAATACAGTTCCAAAGGAGCAAGGTTTGTCTTCTGAAAGTTAAAAGAAGGGTTGCAGCTCAAAAGATAAACACAGTTTCCACTCAGGGACAGCCTACAACCATATCACAGCTACTGCAATAATTGCTTGGAAACCCAGATGAAAAATCTACTCTTGTCATACTTACACATCACCCACTTTGGTGTGTCTTTGTACCTCATGCTGCAGGGGTGTGGTGAGTATTATGGCCTAGCAAATGAAAAATTCAGAGTTCTTTAGGTTTACTTTCTGCCAAGGTGGAAGAAAAAAAACAGAAGAAAGATTATTTTGAAAATAGCTTTTTTTTCTGTGTTTTTGTTTATTTGTTTGTTCTGGTTTGGGTTTGGTTGGGTTTGGTTTTTTTAACTGCAGCTGTGCAGATGCCTTGATCCAGGTTACCAATATCTGGTAAATACTTATCCCTATTCTGCACCTCTAAGAACTGCAGAAAATTTCTGTGATCAGTGTCAGTGTAGATTTTAAAGTCTGGAATAGTCTTTAAGCTTCTGAACCTCAACTACATTAGAGCTGCTGGTTTACTACAGTGCAGACCTTGTTCAGGTTATTTAAGGGCATGAAGTACAGTCAGTGATCAGGACACCAAGCTGGTATGAAATTTGAAGTCACGGTGGACCAAAACCAACAGCCCACCACCATTCCTAAATTTCCTTGGTTCTGTTCACAGGATCACACCCCTTAGTCTAATTCTTGATAGAACTTACCTACCTAATGAATGAAGCTAGAGTCCCTGCACTGGGTTACCGAGATCAAAATATTAACGCTTATTGCTTACTTTCCATGAAAAGCTCACAGGTATAGGCTCCTTCCCTTGGTGGATGCCATAATCCTGTTTGGTCTTAATGGTAATGTCAGCAGTCAAGCCAGTTTTTCTTGTGTACTGTGCTCTGTATTACAGCTTTAAAGAATAATGCTTTCAATAATTCAATTTTCAGACTGTGATTTTAGTGTCAGAACTGTTAATATCCCCTTTTGGGGCCAGTTGTGCTCAAGCCTGAGACTGACTGGGGTTTGTTTTGTTTTTCTTTTTTCTTTGGCTGTTAGTTGAAGTAAGGCAAAAAAAGCTGCATGAATGCAATTCTCTGGAAACAAAACATTCTGCACAGCACAGAGCAAACCAACTCACCCCCCTCCCTGGGAGAGGAGCAAGACTGCGTTGCTGTCTGCACTCAGAGCTGCTGCTTCTCTCCAGCCACATCCCTGTTCAGAACAAGCCCATGCTAACATCTGTTCTAGCCTGCATGGTCCTTATGTCCTCCCAGCCCTTGAGAGGAACAAATGCCAAGAAGAGAAAGCTTGGAGAGAGGCAGTACAAGGAGTGAAAAAAGTAGAGCTGGGTTTCACTACGCCCGTTGCACAAAATTAACACCTTTTGGGGACCTCGACACGAGCAGCAGAGAGAAGAGCTGCGTGTCAGCCCTCGTGCTGCCATCCCCTTCTGCTTCAAGTACAAGTAGAGGCACTTCAGTGTCTGGGCTGCAAGCAGCTCCCTGGGCTCCCACTGCCCGTCTGCTCCAGGGAACGACGGCAGCCTGGCCCAAGTGTCCTGTGAGGAGCTCCTGGCCACCTTTCTGTTAGGCTGGTGAAGGATTATCTCAGTGCCGTTGGTGGCCATGCAGAATTTGAGATACACTGTTATTTGCACTCTCATGTGGCTTCACTGTGGTCTTACATGCGTATGTGCTGTGATCATGGCAAGAAGTTAGACACCAATACATTGCTGAAGAATTTTCATTTCTTACTGTGGCAACAGTTACACAAAGGACAGTGAGAGTGATTTATTTTTTCCACTTAGCCTGGTAACTGTGTTAATACTCAAGGGATGAACCAGAATGGTGGCATGACATATGTACCAAATTGGTTAAATAATGGCAGGAAAACTTGCACTCTTAACCTTTTTTAAACTATGAAATTCAAGCTTTTACTTCCTTAGCTGCTTTGTCTTCACACTTCTGAGTAGCCTGAAGAGGAGTTTGGATTGTTCCTCCTGCTTTCAGGAGACAGCTATTTTGATATTTGGCTGACTTTTATCTTTTTTTTAAACCGTACTTGACTTTCCAAACAGTGTCACAAACATAGCTAACACCAATGGTAAAAATACATGTCTGGCAGTGAAACCATACACCTGGTTCCTTACAACCATCACTGCTTACCTATCAGAAAGGACTGAAAATTGAGCAAGCCAGGCCACACCATAAGCCAGAAGGCAGCACAAGATCCCATGACTAGATGTCAAGTTCTCCCATACTGCATGAGAAGATTGGTAACCCTAGAAGAGAAGCAGCAAAAGCTTCTGCCTGATCTATATGTACTATTTTTTTTAGACAAAATTAATTGCAGATTTCACGTGTAGGAGTCCTTTTGTATACAGAGAAAGTAAATGGCTGCAGTAACCAGAAAGTATATGCTTACAAAAGCATAAAGTCCTGGCTTTAGTGGAATTTGTTCTTTCCCTCATGCAAGTATGTCTGAAATCAGTTGTAGAAGGTGATCAGCATGAGACAAGTTGCTTGCAACAAAGAATAGAAGTAACTCAATCAAAACTTGTCTTAGGGACATACTTGAACTTCACCATTAGTCGTGTTAACACACCTTCAGAAAGTGCCAAAAATTGGTAATGGTAGCTTCTTAAATGCAAATTGTCTGATACCATCATCCGTGGTGCATTTAAACTTCCAGTAAACCACAACAGAGCATAAATCGGGAGTGCAAGAGAGTCTGACAGGGACTCTGAATGCAGCATACATTGCCAGGAGATATCAGAGGAATTTCCAAAAAACACTGCCCGTTTTATCCATCTCAAGTGAATATTGCTGGTGGCAGAGTAGTGGAAAAGAAATTCTGCAAGACGCTAAACAT